AAGCCAGGAGGAAAATGGATAATTGTGACAGTGCGAATTAAGGGTTTTCACTGTAGATCCCCCCTTCTCAGCGAGTACTTTGCCCCTATGCAGGGATCTACGGTCGTGCACCTCGAAGGCATGCTACTAAAATTGGTGTAAGCGAAGCGCTTTTCAATAGTCGATAACTTCGAACTAACCATCTTGAATAAGTTCTTGGCAGGTGGGAGGAAACCGCCTTTGTTATCTGGCGATTCTCCTAGAGCGAGTACAGTTCGAGTTCCGTCGTGAAATTGTAGGACCTTATAGCGAGTGGTATCGTCCATGTACTTGCCGGAGTCCTTGCAAGAATCTGTAAGATACGAGAGAATTTCAGTGGGACACTTTGCGTTTCTTCAAAACGTTGCTCCACCGTTTCTCTTTTGGGAGGATACAGTGCGATTGCCTAGTTTGGCCCATTCACCTGCTCGTACTGCCGTCACCCAACGTTTGACAAATTGCTGTTGGTTCAAGGGCGGAAGAAGTACAAAGAAATCGTGCGAATCCTCATCCCCTTACGACCAGTACGGCTCACAATAACCCATAATCAGCACAAAATTCTTCAGCAGAGCTGAGAATTGTGGGTGGAGGGAGGAGGGGAGGTGGGGGTTTCAGGCGGAGCTCCCAGGCGGCAACAGTGGTCCACCCTCATCGTTTTCTTCCAGCTGCTCTTTTCTACCTGAACTGGCCCACCACTACTAAAAAGCGCATCCTTGGGAGGGAGGGAGGTCATTCTTCCCTTTGGTGGAGTGTTTTCCGCTGGCTAAAAGCCTTCTTTCAAGGTGCCTTCCCAGAGTCAGAGAAGGGTGTTCGTCTCTGTTAGATGTGCGTTTATCAACGTGCAGGGTTCGAAGACTTGGATGTGGATTTACCGAAAGGGCAGAGGCAAAATATTTCAGAATGCCCATGTGATAGCTGTGCAACACTCTCAGTGGGCATTGCGCTAACTTGGGCTGCTTTCTTCATTAAAATCTCTTGATTACTGAAATTATGGGGCTCACTTGTGTCTGGATTCTCACGATATCCAGTGCATAATCCGCAGAGGCTCAGCAGGAGAATAGAGAGCTGAAAAGTCTGTGAGGTAACCTGGGACGGCTGTGACTCTTCACACTTACCATGAACATTCTGAAGAAAGCGCAGGTGTATCCAAAACGAAATTCTGATGCTCTACTGAGCTGGCGTGAGCCTTTATACCATACTGGAATGGGGAACTGTATTGCCACATTTGGTTCAATGGATTATAACGACCTCGAACCACAATGATGGGCATCAAAGTCTCATAAAATATTGATTATTCACAATGTCAGAAGGAATGACGACAACAAAAGTTGTTCACTCCCGAATAGCGCCTCGTTTTTCCTTGGTACAAGAATGGCCGCTAGTACGCTTAGGCAAGAGGCTTTTTTCTAATTCCTGTCAACATAACAGGCAATCATATGAGCGATTCGACACGCTACGAAATGATACCACTTTCATTTCACATGTCAACGCAACACGAAGCGAATGCTTGCCCTCGATTACCAATCGTTATTAGCAAAGTCTGCGAGAAATGCGAATCGGGCCCGTTTGTCAGTTACATGATAATACTAGCGAAAAGTAAGGCTGCGTTTATACTTTGCGGCAGCGTAGCGTAGCGCTTCCAGCGTACGCCAGCGGCAGTGCCGAAGAGAGGATGCATATCGATCTAGCTTCACCAGCGTCACCATGGCGGCATAACTTCAAATCGGATGCTGTTTTTGTACCCTCCCAGCATCTCGAGCCATAGTCTCCAGCTCCCACTGCCGCTGGCAAACGCTAGCAAAACGGCCTGGTGAAACCTGAGAAACGCTGTACCTTAGCGGGCAGGCTTAGGCGTAGCGCTCAGCGTTTCTCCAGCGTTTCACCAGCGTTTTGCTAGCGTTTGCAGCGGCAGGGAGTAGAGACTATGGGAGAGCTGGAGGGTACAAAACACATCGATTGCGCGTCTCTCACTCGCCCTTAGTCTCTACAATGCACATCGCTTCTGCGTCTCCGACGGCCACATAGTCTCTACAATGCACATCGCTTCTGCGTCTCCGACGGCCACATAGTCTCTACAATGCACATCGCTTCTGCGTCTCCGACGGCCACATGGTCTCTACAATACACGTCGATTCCGCGTCTCTCACGGCCACATAGTCTCTACTCCCTGCCGCTGCAAGCGCTAGCAAAACGCTGGTGCCGCTGGAGAAACGCTCGAGAAACGCTGGTGAAGCTAGATCGATAGCTATGCTTCCCGTGCCCTCGCTACGCCAGCGTGCGCTAGCGTGCACGCTGGCGTACGCTAGCGTACGCCAGCGTGCCG